TTTCTGGAAAATCCCCATAGTTCAAAGGCAATTACCATTATACGTAGTAAAATCAAATTTATCATCTCCAAGGCTTCAATGCAGACCGTAACCCAAATATCTTCAGATGTTTTGGCCCAATCTTGTCTTTATGCCATGGCTGGAACCTGCCAGCTAAACAACCTTCGAATGAGACACTCGGTAGACAAGGTGAAAGACAAAGCACCAGAGGTGTGACAAACAAACACGGATGAAAGGAGTTCCAGATGCACTTGATGATCACGGAGTTCCTGTTTTTGTGGACAACAGCCCAGAAAGCATCCCTGCAAACCTCCACTGTTACTACACATGAGCAGACCTCAGAGCATTTAGCGTATCACCCCTTTCAGGTGGGTTAATTGCAAAACTATTGTCCTTTGTCAGATCCTTTTAAGAATTCAAAGCCATTTCTTCATAGAAACAATGTCGTAAGTGGATGAAAGTTTTCCAGGATAGCTCAGCCAAATTCACTCCTTCTACAGTTGAGAACAAATACATTTTCATTTACAAAAATAGAAAATAGTGCAGTAAATGTGCCATTTTCTTTTAAATGACATAAAACATATCTAAACATAAAGAACATAGCAAAATATGTTGATCTTTGTCAGATCTCAGGGTCTGCTAATATGCAAAACTGAACACAAGGAAAGTTGAGGGACTCACTTTCATATGTCCTATCTTATTGTGAAATCAATGGGGAACACAGAGCTAGCTGTCTCCTAACACTCCTCTCCGCTTCTTCCTTTAGAGAGTCTCTGTAAGACTCAAGTTGTAGCTGGAGGCAACGACAACCAGAGTGGTCTACTGTATGCCCCTGGGTGCATAGTTATGGCCACAAGATGAACTCAGTGGACAGGGTGCATTCTGAAAAGATGCGCGTGACTTCCAGGTTGCGGCCTGCAAGCCATATATTCCCTGCCCTCTGATTACCTGCAGTACTCAGATGCTGAAGAGCCTTTCTGCACAGCACAGGGAAGGTGACCCTGGCAGAAGAGGCGCACAGGACAAGCTCAGATGGAGCCTGCAAGCCGGGCTCCCGCCCCAGCTCCCAGCATCCCTGTGGTCATCGTTGTGTCAGAGAAAAATAAGTTTCTGGTTAGCCTGAATCACTTTTAGTTTGTGTTTCTGTAAAGTAGCAGCCAAACATGCACCTTAATCCAGAGAGGGATGACCTAGGAGGACAATCTTGTGGAGACTCTGCAGCAAGTACCTCTAGAATACTGCTAATTTAAAAAAAAAAAAAAAAAAAAAAGTTTGATACTTAAGATTTTTTCCTTCCCTTGCAAAGCACTATTATTTGTCTGGTGAAAATTTACCAAAATAATTTGTAAAGATATTTTCTTTGGGTCATTCTCTGCAGTCTAAATCCAAACTTCATTAGTAATTTATTCTCTTTCTCCTTCCTCCTTTCCTCCCTCCTCCTCCTTCTTCTTCCTCTTCCTTTTCTTCTTCTCTTCCTCTTCTTCCCCTCCTCCTCTTTCTCTTCCTCCTC